GCAAGTGGGAAAACCTGAAAAATCAACAGTGTATCAAATACTTGTTCTCCCCACTGTATATCAACACACCACTTGTGTTTCCACACCTCAGTGTTTCTCTAAAAGTATTGATGTGCCTCGGGGTTTAAAGTCAAAATAATTGTAATATGAAGGGGTAAGCCAGGATCTGTGAGTGTGACATAGCCATGTCAGATTGTGCCCCCAGCTGGCTGCAGGATTTAAAAATACAACCAAACAGCAAGATCATTTCAGAGAAACCTTGGAGCAACAACAGCTAACTGGAGCGATGCTGAAGTTTTCAAACTTCTGTCACCAACAGAAGATATTCAGGCGGTGTCTCTAAGCCACGCCCCCTTCTGTGCCATGCTCCTGGTTCTGAAAGCAGATCTCACTGCATCAACATAACAAATGAGCAGTGAACGGGACTTTGTGTGTTTACTGCAGAACTACGATCATAGCAGAGATTTTTTAGGTGAAGGTGTGGTGCAGTGTGTAGTACTTGAAGTTTGTGTTGTGAATGACTCTCAGCTACTACCACAACAAATTTATCTGTAGGAAGCTGAGTTGCAGCCATTTTTGTGTTACCAAAGGTCAGTTAGTTGCAGCAAGCATCTAGAATGTGGTTACAAAAAGTTAATCATTTGTCGATTAGGGCTGAACAATGTATCAAATATATCGTCATTGTAATATCAGTGTGTGCAATATTCATATAGCAAAGGATGGTTTGGAGTGCAGTCATTGTTGACTAATGTATTTCATGAGTTTAGAAGTTGTATTTTTCATGCTAATGCAATATTTAGCCAGTAGGACAGAATCTCACAGCAGCAAAACCTCACACCAGGCATAAATGACTGTCAAAAATGCCACAGCTCGCACAGATTAGGAAGTACAGATTAGATAAAGAGGAAAGAAAAAAAAGACATAATCATACCTGATATCGTCATCGCAATATTTACAACTGTGACCCATCGCATCAAAATGAGGATTAAGTCCTAAAGTGGAATGTGGAGAAATAGGCAGATATAGGGTTTTGATTTAAAAGTCTGCAAAAATCGCATTTTGTCAAAATACAATGAATCACTTGAATGACCTGTCTGAAATATAATCCTAAATTTTTTTTGAAGCATTTTTTTAGCAGTAGCAACAGAAACCCTGTTTTTGAGGAAAAAACCCTTAAAATTTAGAATTTTTCCCTGTGAGTTAGCAATGTTTTTGTTTCTTTCCAACTGGGAAATCTTAATATACAAATA